TCGGGAACAGGGAAAAGGGCCCCGGAGCTTGTCCCTCCTCATCCAATCACCTGTAAGTATTATATCTCATCAAACACCGCGTCCCTAGACGTCCCAGTCAGGGGGGGTGGTAGTCCAGGGGGCTCAATGAGCAATGCAATCCCAATGTTCATTGAGCCAATGAGATTGTTTGCTTCGAGCCTTAGCAAATAGATGGAGAGCACGAGCTGGCTGATGGCAACCTGTCGGCCCCCGTTTTCGCTGGCTGAACGCGGCAGTGAAGTTTACCCTACCTCAAACAACCTGGTAACCTGCTTGTTGAAAAGTTGTCCGCAAGTGCTGGCTGTTTCCAACCTGTGTCGCCCAGAGAAAGGACCCTGGTCCAAGTGCCAGCTGAAAACTTGCAGCTTGGAGATGCCAAGTCACAAAAATCATGAGACTAATTACATGAGACTACATATAAAGGTTTCCTCACCCACACAGTATGTGAGGGATTGTCAACTGCACCTCCTGCCGCTGCCAAACAAAGGGTTTCGCTTGGTAACCAAACCATACGGCTGTGGATCAGAATGGGATCCACGAACGCCGTGGTGTTTTGGTGCGGGTCTCGTCTTGCATGTGATTTTCCACGGGTTTTGTAAAAAAAACAGGTGTCAACTCTCAAAGATCTCCAAACAGCAACCCAAGTACAGTTGGGGCGGATCCACCATAATCAACCAAATACACCCACTCAGGTCAGCGTTGGGATAGAGAAAAACAGACCGGTACGAATCACTAGGATAACTAAATGACTGCAACCTCTCTTCACCCAACTCCACCCTACTAGCGATGGCGTGCCCTCTGTTTCAGCACATGTCACAGGAGCCCCCAAAACTCACCCCTTTGCGAAGCTTCAAAACTAGCGCCATCGCCCATGCTCGATGGCAGCACAAACCACAGGACTTCTGGGCTTGTTGAACATTCAGCTCGCTTCTCAGCGGTGCGATGTAGTCCTTGCCCCACGGGAAGGGTGTCTCAATGTCGGGGGTAGAAGGGTGATGTCCTTTGTGGTTTCCAGAAGTAACATGATGTTGGGGCGATGCAGGATTGTGTGGAAACAGAATTTGGCTGTTCCCAAAGCAGCCGTTCCCGGAAGGCGCCATGTATGGGTTGCTGGTGAAGACTCCAAGCACCTCAAGCCGATTCGACCGTCTTCACCGTCTCGGAGAGTCGGTCGAGAGTCCGCGTGGCGTGGAGTCGGATGGACACCGATCCCTGGAGTCGGATGGCACATGTCATCCGATGACTGGATCGCTTGGGGGTCCGTTGGAACGGACGCTTCCATCGCTTCCATGCCCTTCGTCTCGCTTCCACTCGTCCGGGCTTTTCAAGGGATTTGGAACGTCCCACGACGGACGTCGGACCTCTGGCCCCCCCCCCCGCCTGGTGCTTCGTCCGCCCTCGGCGGACGTCGGACCGAGGTCGAAGGTGAAGACCAGGCGCGTCCGGACAGACTCCGCGTAGACTGAAAGAGCGAACCGGTCCATCTCCACCACGGGGTCCTCCCGGGTGTCCAGCACATGGCCCCTTTTAAGGGGTGTCCATGAACCACCTCGACTATACTTGTAGCCCGAGATATAGGGATCCACATGATCCATGGCCACCAAGACCTTCAGCTTCGGTTTTCTTTTGGACCCTCCAAAGCACATCAAAGTGTCGAGCAGGTCTACATCCGTACCTCAACAGCCTCGGTTCGGTTCATGAGATTGTTCATTGATCCATGAACCGTCCAGTGGGGGTCCAGTGGAGACCCAGAAGTAGTGTAGGGTGTAGTGTCTGAAGGTGCTGGTTGATTCTAACTTCATCCATGGAGCCTTGCTCCATGCCCAATGCACACCTCCCCGCACACCGGGCCTGAGCCGGGTACATGGTCTTTCTCTTCACTGACCTGGATTCCAGGTGGTGGGGGGTAGAATGTGGGAGAACGAACTCGTCCGATTTGGCTGGATCCGGAACCAGGGCATCGCGTGAAATCGGGCCGCCAGAGAAAAACCATGCGGTGGAGCCACCACGTGGCGAAAGTATACGTGCTGGCACGCAGCGTTGTGCGTGCTGTGTGCTGAAGCTGCTTAATAAGATTTGATAAGTTTACTTCAGACAAAAAGTATACGTATGCTTATGCTTGTTATCTGGGCATAAAGCCCCTGTTGGGTGAGCTGCAGATCGAATGAGCAAGTCCAATTTTTGTGGCAGGTGTGGTGCTTTCGTTTGGTTGATGCTCCTCCAATGCCTGTCCACCAACGCCTGGCGCCTGGCGCCTGGTTTCCCATCCACCTCGCCCTCGCCCCACGCCACGCCGGACGAGTCTTCATAGCGCAGCCACAAAGCACACCGGTGAGATTCACCGCCGAGAGACGTAGGCGGGACCGGACGGGGTGGGAGGGAGGGGAGACCTAGGGTGGGCCAGAGGGTAGGGACTGATACAGGGGTAGGAGAGTGTCCTGGAGAGGTGGATTTTGGGGGGCTTTTATATAGGATGTTTGGATGTGTTCGATGCTGCTTCGGCCTAATATTGAAGAAGAACAAGGGGCGGAATTGAAGTACTGTTGCTTTGAGAGTCCTTGAGTCCTGCAGAGGTTTGGAGGTCCATCTCTTCACGGTTCCGAGTCACTGCACGGGCGGTGGTCCCGGCTTGCGGCTGGCCCCCCTTCACTTCGGAGGTCCCGGGTCCCGGCAGCCTTGACTCGGAAGCTGTCCTGATTCACCGTCAGGATCCGCACTCGAAACAAAACAAAGGGTTTGGTTCGGGTACATGAGGGGCCCCAAACCCTTGTGAACTAGAGGGTTCGGGTGTGTCAAAAAGGAGGGTCCGTTCGGATCCTTAGGGATTCATTGACTCTGCAGCTTTGCTTACAGGTGCCTTTGGTACGTATGTTTGACCCAAGGACATCTTGGGGAAGGAACACACATAGATGAGAGCAAAACCCTTGTTGGGGTCTCCCTATTTGATTGACACCCACATCATCCAGTTCTACGGGGATCGGTCCCTGAAAAGTGAGGTATAGCTGAAACATCATAATTCATCCGGACCACCGTCCATCGGGATCCCTTGTTCAAGGACATGCACACAGATACCTGAACGTATGATTCCGATTTTTTCAATTCCTGGATCGAGTTCCATCGCATGTTGGCCAGGAGAGATGCCGCACTGAAGGGGTCACTGGTGTTTTTGTTCAGGAGAGATTCTTCCAGAAACTCTGGGATGTCCCAGGCACTTAGCGCCGACCAGGATGCTCAGGATGGAAAGGAATTATCATGAATTCGCGAACATGCCAAGGGACTGGTATTTTGGGATGCCCAACAGACGAACGCACGACACTGAAATTGGGATGGCCTGGAGCACTCCGCGCTGCTTCAAAATATCGTGTGAACCCCAAAGACAGGTTCGAACGGTTCAACGGCAGGTAGACTGGTGACCGTTTCGACTGGTGCGGCCCGGTGACATGCTACGGCTGAGGCTTGTGATAAGAAATCACCATTTTGTCGATAATAATTCTTGATCCCAAGTGTTTGAACAAGAAATCTGAGCCCAGGTAATTAGACTCTAATGTTGGGTTTCTTAATCTAGGGTTTCTTCAGGAGAGGGCAATCCTCTGAATGAGGGGTCTTAGCTCCATTTCAACCTGTTTTCAAGCAGTTTCAAACCTTTATGGAGCCCGTTTTCCATAGCAGAAACAAACAACCATTAGAACGCTTCATGTCACGAAAGCTAGCGAAGCTAGCTGGAGTTACTCTTGCGATAGCAAGGTTTCTTTCGATCGGGTGCAAATCTTTCAGGTCGAAGCCCCCCCCCTCCCC